CTGCTTCTGCTTCTGCTGCTGCTTCTGCTTCTGCTTCTGCTTCTGCTGCTGCTTCTGCTTCTGATGCTGCTTCTGCTTCTGCTTCTGCTTCTGCTGCTTTTGCTGCTTCTGCTTCTTCTGCTTCTGCTGCTTCTTCTTCTTCTGCTGCTGCTGCACTGTTCTTAGAAAGCCCCGCAGGATTCGTCTGGACCTCTGAAGGTGTACGAAGGAGTAGTTTGGGTTGTAGCAGTACAAATATTTGACGGCACTCCTTGCGCGCCCTTCCTCCATAACTAGGTGACTACCGTAATTTCTTTTTTATGAAAATGGAACCATTCTTTATTGTCTGTCCCACAAGAGCCTGGGCGTGTGGACACTATGCGGTAGATGATATGAGGCCATACATACTTACACCAGGACTTTCGTGAGGGGTATTTGGATGTAATTTAATTGCTGTCAGATACATGGAAGTAAGGCCATAATTGCGGTCAAATTCATCTGGAAAAGACCTGGTTCAGTTTGCTTCCCTTTGTTTGATTGTTCATTTGGTTATTTTAAAACGAAAAAGTGAATTGTTCATTTGGTTATGCAGTGAACGGCATGCATGGCAGATACAGTTTCCGATTTCGTCTTTTCATCTCTAAGAGTAAGTCTGTCTATTACAGAAGGTGAAACTCCGATGAAAGAGTTTGTCACAGCCCCTCGTTTGTTGTCCTCTTCTCCCTCTCTGCCTACGGTTTACCGGGCAGCTCTGTTTGACGATATATAGAACATAAGAGTGCTGTCTATGTTGAAACTGCATAAGAGCGCTGTTTTTTGTTTTTCCTCCTCCTCCTCTTCCGTCTCCCTCTCTCTGACAATACATAAGGAAGTACTGAGTAATCAAATTGTATTTGTTTGCAGCATGACCTGATGAGCATGTTTGGCTTCTCCCTGATCAGTGCCCAGTGATAAGCATACGGCAGCTGAGATAGAGGAATCTATGAGAATCTTAAGAGAGCAAGGAGTGGAAGTCATGGACCTTCGATCGAACCCCCGTCCAATCACGCCTAACTTCTTTGCAGAGAGCATTGAAAAGATGGATGCATTGAAATCGCAACAGGTAAGCTTTGTGTGCAGTGCACTAACTTCCCTCCTCTTCTTGTTTTGCGCCTTGTGATGTGACGTTGGTGGTTTTCATCGCTATAACTTTGGTTCAGGAGTTTGTTATTATGTTAAAAATTGACAGCATTTAGATACGCAACAGACTGACTTGCTTCTGACTTTCCTGCTATATACCTATCATTATCTTGAATGCCCAGTAGTCCACATGAAATATAGAAAATGTAGTGTGTCATATCACCTAAGCACGCAAGCTGACAGTGGCTCTCTTGTGTCAGCGCACTCCTTGGGTATTTGTCGGTCACGTCACTAATGCTTTTTGTGATCACATGTGCTTCACATGGTTATGGTTTGGGTTTGTCTTGATTGGTTTGTGAGATAGAGGAGGGGGGTTCTGGTATGCACAACCCCCACACCTGCAGGGCCCAGCATTGGGTAGGGGGCTTGGGTTAAGGAGTTCAGGGGTTTTCGTTACTTTTTTGGGGTCGTCTGCATCTTTTTCAAGGGCTCATTTTTTTGAGTTCTCAGCTGTTTGTCTGTTCTCAGTCCTTCGTCTGCTTCAGGTTTGTGCGGTCTGGATATTGTCATTTCAGCAGTTTGCTTCATTGTCTGACTCAGGAGTTCTAGTCAGGAGTTATCGTTCCAGCATATTGGGCCGACTCAGGCCCAACGGCCATATTTTAGGCCTGACACATTTTTCTTTGGGCTGGACCTTGGTTTTCGTCCAGCACATGTATCGCTCGTTTCTGCGGACACCTATGCTGGTTCAGCGGAGGAGCCTGGACGTCTGGCTGGACCCAGGCAGCCCGATGTAGGCCAGGATTCAGGACCAGGATTTGGGCCTGCATCCTGGACCGTCAATTGGCGATATGATCCAACGACTCAGGGTGCAGACCTCAGCTGCATCTGGTAGGCCCAGGCCCCAGGCCTATATTTAGCTGGGCGGCAGGCCAGACGTGCGCACGGGCGCTGAGGTGAGAGGGGCGCTGCTGTGGGCGCACGGTGGCCATAGCAGGGCTGCTGGGGTGCAGGCATGGTAACGGTGATGGTGGTCTTCGGGTAGGAGGCGCATGAGGTCAGGCGTCAGGGGGTAATGAGGGGAGGTTCGAGACACATACCTGGTGTATGCTGGCGGTCTGCATGGGTGATGACATCACGTACATTGGTCTTCAACTTCGATGTGTCCTATTGCATGAACGTAGATAGGATGATAGGTTGAGTAGTGTAGGCTGGGCGCTGGGCGCCACTTAGTAGGAGCGACATTAATACTATGTTGGTGTGGCCAGTGAGCGTCGGTGTTGACATTTGGGTTCACTGTATTGCTCTTATTTGGATGGTATCTTGGTGCATTGTGCTCTCTGCTTGGTACATGACTATCTGGACTAGTTCGTGATTTTGCGATTTGGGATTCTGTCTATCGCTCTCGCTCATATTACTTGCAATAGAGAGAGAGATGAAAGTTGAGACTTGGTGACATTTGGCGATTGCCTAGACTCGGACATTGTATTTGGACAGAGATATTGCGGATTATTGTTGGAGGCTATACATTCGCAGAGCTATTTGAGTTGAAATCTCCTCTTCCTCTCCGCTTTTCTCTTCCTCATCCCCCTCCCCCATGGATATACGAGTACAAGCATGGTGACTCTTCTTCTGTGCGCGTCACAGTCAGTCCTGAGTCAGATCTCTGTGTGTTTCAGTCTTTCACTGAATTGTTATTGCTCTTTCTCCTTTGGTCGGTTCTTGGGTTCTGCCTCATGCCTCTCTGATGTATTCAGGCATGTGACAGTTTGTTATCGGAGCAGACCGAAGTAAAGTTGGATCTGTTCATCACATCGCCGTTTGAGTCGAATGTGCAAGGAAGATGAGCAATAGCGAACTTCAGAAATCAAACAGCATCATACACATGAGACCAGATAGTCATGACCTCGAACCAATAGCAGAATTGCATCACGAGTTCTACCAAATAAGAGCACAGCAAAAGCTCATAATTGACAATGTTGGAATAGTCTCATCATCATCAACGAAGAACCAATGTTGATATCCTATCTGGCACTTGGCGCCCAGACTACAAATGGCAGATCTTATCTAGCCTATCTACAATGCTGCTGATGACGTCAACAGCTCCCCGAAGTACGAGCATATCTCGGCCAATGCCGTACGCTTCAAGTACCAGGTATGTCTCTCGTATCACTCACAACCTCGTTCCCCAACTCACAGATGCCACATGCACCCAAGAACCACCGTGCGCCCCATCCAGCATACAGCAGCGCAGCTCGGCTATGGCTGCCTGCTCCTTCCAGCTCGCCCGTGAGCGCGTGAGCGCTGGCCAGCGTTAGTGCAGCAGCTCTTGCGCAGCATGCAACCAGTGTCCGAATGCCCAATGCGTAGGCAGGCCCTTCCCTATATCGACTTGGCCTGCTGCTGCGTGCGGTAATGCGGTATTGGGCCCTGGCCCAGAAGCTTCCGGTAGGCCCCACGAGGCTGAGCCTCAGTCCGAAGTAAACAGGCCCAGCGCCTGTGGTGGTCACCAGCACCCAATTGCCCTCAGCCTTTGTTCGGTCCGCGTTGTGTATCCGGCCCAGGGCCTGCCTCAGTTACATACAATGAAAGGCAGCCTGGGCCTGGGAGCTTCCAAGCAACTGGCGTTGCGCAACTGCTGAATTTCCCCGGTTGCGTGGGGACCCCAAAATGGCCTGTAGGCCTTGGTCGTGCCTGCCTTCACTTAGGGCGGACGACTGTGCTGAAAATAGGCCCTGTAGGGCATATCGAGGCTCTGTGCCTCGCATTCCCTCCTCCATACTTCGATAGTCCTCTGAGAAGTTCAATCTTCAATGATCTGGCGCTTTCCCTTTTGCAGAGACTTCTCCTAGTGAGCGGCAACCTGTGGAGCAGTCTGCATTAGTTCCTCCCGTGTGAACCATCCATCCTTCTTTGGATCAGTGTGATGTCGGAACTGAACTCGGTACTGCAGCTTCGGTTTTGGAGGACGTCCTCTGCTTGTCGGTCTTGGAACTGGCATCTCCCTGTGATCAACGATGTCGTCGATGTCGACCTCTCCATCCATGGTTATGGGCAGCATAGAGCGACGAGAGGGAAACTGATCAGTTTCTTCGAACGGTGCAAGCTTAGAGGCGTGAAAAACAGGGTAAGTACGTAAGTGACCAGGGATGCGAATAACATATGATGGTCCATCCGGTTCATTTCCTATAACATCTAGGATCTCCCATGGTCCAAAGTACTGTGGCATGAGCTTGCGGGAGATCCCGTGCTCCTGTCCCAGTTCTGAGGACTTGACCCAGACTCTTTCACCTACCTGAAATGTAGACAGGCGGCGGTGCTGGTTCTCAGATTATATGATCGCTGCCTGAGCCTTGTGCATTTGTTCAACAGCCTGCTGCATCAGACTCTCATAACGATAAGCAAATTCTAAGGTTCCCGGTGCAGCAGAAGGTTGGTTCTCAGGTAGTAAGAAATCTAAGGGCAGTCTAGGCTTGAACGTCAATAGCAGGCTGTTCGGGCTCACCCCCATTGCGCTGTGCACAGCGTTATTGTACAGGCTGGCGAGGAGAGCAAATTTCTCATCCCAGTCCACCTGATTAGGCTTGATGTAGTGCCTCAGCAGGTGTTGTACAGCGCGGTTCAGCTGCTCTGTTTGCCCATTCGCCTCTGGATGGTTCCCTGGTGTCATCTGCAGCTGTGTTCCCTGTTCTGCAACTGCGGCCTTCCCAGTTCACTAGTAAATCTCACATCATTGTCACTGACTAAAGATTTTGGCAGTTAATATCTCTGACCCAGTTCTCTTTGAACAGTTTAATCACATATTCAGTCTTAGCTGTTGCCGGCATTAAGAGTAACCTAGCGTACTTGCTAAACCTATCCACATTGACATAGACGTAGCGCATTCCACTCTTGCTGGTGACCAGCGTATCCATGAAGTCCATGGACAGACTCTCACCAGGCCTTTCCGGTATTGGAAGGGCCTTCAGAAGCCCAAGAGGGGCCTGTGTACGAGGCTTGTCCCTCTGACAGACCTGACAAGTCTCCACATACAGCTTGGCGTCTTTCATCATCGTGGGCCGCGTGGGCCACCAAAACCGCTGTAGCAGATTGGCTGTTGTCTTTTTGTAGCCAAAATGTCTGGTGGCATCATGACATTCTCCTAAAAATAAACTGCGCAAAGACTCCCGATTAGGCACACACAAACGTTTATTCTTGGCCTTCTCAAGGAACAGCGAGCCGTTGACCAACTCAAACTCGGCAGAAGTCGCTTTGTCCTTCGCCTCGAGTCTGCGAATGATCTCAGACATAAACGGATCCTCACGATAGGCTTCCACCATAGAGCGAGTGACATCGTCCGCAAGCCCAGACTCAGTGATCAGTGCTCCAGAGAAGTCTGGCCTACGCGACAACGCATCAGCAACCTTGTTGTACTCACCTTTGATATATTGGGGTTCGAAGTCATACTGCTCAATGACTTCGATCCAGCGTTTCAGCACATCGGAGAGCACAGGCTGGGTCCTCATCCACTTCAGGGTCTGATGATCAATCCTGACGTAGAAGAACCTCCCAAGGAGATAGTGCCTCCATTGGGTGAGCACCTTATAAATCGCATAGAGCTCCTTCTCATAGGTGGATTTAGCCAACTTCTGAAAGGGCATCTTTCTGGGCATGTATTCGACTGACCTCAACTTTGGCCCCTCCTACTGCGCGAACACGGCGCCTATGCCATATTGGCTAGCATCCGTGGTGACTATAAACGGCTTGTCAGGATCAGGAAGCTTCAAGACCTCATGGTGTGTCAACGCATGCTTTAGATTTCTGAAAGCAGCCTCACACCTGTCTGTCCAATCCCATGGGGTGTCAAGGCGGGTCAGGTCGGTCAAAGGGGCGGCCAATATGCTATAGTTCTTAACAAAGTTGCGGTAGTAGCCGGTCGTCCCTAAGAAAGACCTCATCTCAGTCACAGACTGAGGACGCAGCCAGTCACGAATGCTGGCCACCTTTGCATCATTGGGCTTCAAACCCTGCGCGGAAATCTCATGACCCAAGTGCAAGATCCGGGTGCGACCAAACTCGCATTTCTCCCCGTTGATCTTGAACTTGTGTTGCTGAAGGAGACTAGGGACTTTGTCTAAGTGCGCAACATGCTCCTCAACAATCCTACTAAAAATAACTATGTCATCGAGGTACACGACGACAAACTTATCCAAGTAGGCATGAAAGATCCGATTCATAGCGTGCTGAAAGGTGCCAGGAGCATTGCAGAGGCCGAATGGCATCATCACAAACTTGTACAGACCATACCTGGTCTGAAATGTGGTTTTGTGTTGATCCTCGGGCCGGATTGCAATCTGATGGTACCCACGCTTCAAATCTATCTTACTGAAGTACCGGCACCGTTGCACTCTATCTAGCAAGTCATCGATGCACGATAGGGGCTCTCGGTTCTTGACATTGATGGCATTGAGGCCCCTATAGTCAATGCACATCCTCAGAGCTCCCCTCTTCTTCAGTACAAATAAGACTGGAGATCCGTAAGGGGAGACACTCGGTCGGATCCAACCCTTCTCTACGAGTTCCTTGAGCTGTCGGCGAAGCTCGTCAAGCTCGCCTGGAGACATCCAATAGATCCTACCCTTCGGGATGCTAGACCCTGGGATAATCTCTATCGCGTGGACGACCTCCCTCTAGACAACCCCTGTCGGCTCTTCAAATAGATCAGGGTACTTCGCTTGCGAACGCCCTGCTTGCCTCTGCGGCCCTAACCCTCCGCTGCTGCTGCTGTCTCTCCCTCTGCTGACGGAACAGATATTTGTCGCCCCCTGGTCCTAACACCTAGTGGGCTATCGGGTGTCTTGCCGATCGCAAGAGCCTATCGTCCGGTTGTGGGACCTCCCCGTCGCTCATAAGCTACAGTACTGCACACTGTCTGCACGAGGACACTCATTCGATGCCTACCGCAGCGTCATGCACAGACCGATTAAAAATAAATAAACTAATTAATCGGTGGCTATGTCAGAGACTATTCATTTGGGTTCAACAGGTAAGTTCAAATTCCTACAAACGAAGCTATCTTAACTTCGACTAGTTCACAAACAGAAAGCACAATGAACAGTAAGCAGTTCTAACTATGTTGTCTGTCAGATGTTAATGGCTGTCCATCTAACTAATCAAAAATAAAAATAAAATCGTTTGTGTGGATATTTGCATAATGGAATTGAACACAAACTTATCACCTGGAATCTACCCCTTCCTCAGTTCTTCCTGAATATCTCTTGTCGTCAGCGTCCCTGAGCGATCCAGATAGCGTGCGTGTCTAAAGGTGTGCACACGGCCCACCCCTGTGTCCCGAGTCCTGCTGAGCTGGCCAGCCCTGCACAGTCTTTATCCTCGCGTGCAGCAAGCCTTACACCGACCAATTGGCTGATCAGGAGGCGTTTTCATGGACGGCCCCCGAAGTCCTCAGGAATTATTTAACGTTGCAAACAAGACGACGATCACAACCAATGGAAGGTATCCCGTTGGTGCTTATTTATAGACGCCCAGTCTCATTTGTCCCATAGGGCTGGCCTGGCCCTCAGAACCCCTCTACAGCGCAGCAAGCAGACAAAGGACAAAGCAGCAAAGCATGCGTGCTCTACTCCCAGTGGGTTGGCATGGTGACTGTGACCCAGTGCTTCGTCCAGGGCCCTTCAGATAGCACGGCCCTCTCCTTCCAGATGCTCCACGTGAAGACTGACGACTCTCAAGGTTGAGCGCACATGACTCCTCACATGAGAGGACTCTCAAGATAGAACACATCTCCTCACGGTAAGAAGTGTCGAAGAGGGTAGATAAGGTTAGGTGCAACGTACCTCAAAATAGCTGCCCCCAACCACAGATATTCTCACCAGATGACCCAATGTTGATTGTGATGACCAATCGCTGCTTCAGCACAACCAACATTGCACCGCCGTTCCACCTCAGCATCAATCACACATCGGATAGTTCTCATCACACTGCGAACACCCAATATTCACCACATAGCCTTTCTGGCGATCCCCTCTCCACCTGGGTCGCCTGCTTATCTTCGCCCTCCTCACTACACACATCCCATGACACGGTCACTCACCACACACACCCCATGCATGTACCGCATTAGGCAGAAAACAAGCGCCAGATTAGCACACCGAACCACAGCTCTGATACCAAATTGCAAGGAAGATGAGCAATAGCGAACTTCAGAAATTAAACAGCATCATACACATGAGACCAGATAGTCGTGACCTCGAACCAATAGCAGAATTGCATCACGAGTTCTACCAAATAAGAGCACAGCAAAAACTCATAATTGACAATGCTTGAATAGTCTCATCATCATCAATGAAGAACCAATGTTGATATCCTATCTGGCACTCGGCGCCCAGACTACAAATGGCAGATCCTATCTAGCCTATCTACAATGTCGCTGATGACGTCAACAGCTCTCTAAAGTACGAGCAGATCTTGGCCAATGCCGTACGCTTCAAGCACCAGGTATGTCTCTCGTATCACTCACAACCTCGTTCCCCAACTCATCGATGCCACATGCATCCAAGAACCACCATGCACCCCATCCAGCATACAGCAGCGCAGCTCGGCTATGGCTGCCTGCTCCTTCCAGCTCGGCCGTGAGCGTGTGAGCGCTTGCCAGTGCTAGCGCAGCAGCGCTTGCGTAGCATGTAGCCAGTGCCCGAATGCCCAATGCGTAGGCAGGCCCTTCCCTCTATCGAAGTGGCCTGCTGCTGCGTGCGGTAATGCGGTACTAGGCCCTGGCCCAGAAGCTTCCAGTAGGCCCCACGAGGCTGAGCCTCAGTCCAAAGTAAACAGGCCCAGGGCCTGTGGTGGTTACCAGCACCCAACTACCCTCAACCTTTGTTCGGTCCGCGTTGTGTATCCGACCCAAGGCCTGCCTCAGTTACATGCAATGAAAGGCAGCCTGGGCCTGGGCGCTTCCAACCAACTGGCATTGCGCAATTGCCTGAATTTCCCCAGTTGCGTGGTGACCCCAAAATGGCCTGTAGGCCTCGGTCGTGCCTGCCTTCACTTAGGACGGCCGACTGTGATGAAAATAGGCCTTGTAGGGCATATCAAGGCTCTGTGCCTCGCAAATGGTAGATTGGTCAATTAATCAATCGGTCGACAAATTAATCACCTGGTTAATTGATGGCTCAATTGAGTAATTAATCGATTGATTGATTGATTGATTGATTGATCGATTGATTGATTTGATTTGAAACGGGTTTCGCCTATTACGGTAGCAGATGCAGTACCCAGGGCTTGATCCCTAGACCTCCCCTTTATCCATGTACGGTACCTGTTGACCCGTGTGTGTTTGAACCCGTGACCTGTGTTCTGAGAGTTGTATATGTTTAGCTGTTGTGTATAGTCCGGTCGTCGAGTCTTGAACTGTAGGTCTTTGTTTTAGTTGTCTTAGGGTCAGCCTAGGTCGTAACTACTGTAGCTCCGAATGGTCAAGTCTACAGTCTTTCAGAACTTCCGGAAGTGGCCTTTCGGGTGTCCTAGAGTCAGTCCGCGTCTGAGTCAGCAGAGGACAGTCCTAGCACAGTCAGCAAAGGGCACTCCTAGATCTACCTAGCCTAGTCAGCGGTACCCAGTCCTGAGGTGCATTTTGTATAGTCAGCAAGTACCAGGCTGGACTGTGCACAACTCGGGTCCTGGGTCAAAGGGCAGACCTGGATGATCCGAAGTATAAATAAAGAGGCGTCAAGCCATTCATTCATTTCGCATGTGAGCCGTGCAGAAGCGCTGTCGGAGCGTCGTGTGCTACGGAGGTCAGCAGGTGCCCGCAGAAGAAGAGGGCTAAGAGGTGGAAGACACGACCATAGATCGTGTGCTTGCGCACGCCGTTGTTTTCCCTGTGCGCTGTTTCGCTGCGCGCTAAATTGTCACGCTCCGCTGCTCGCGTCGTCGCGATCGCGCACGCCCGGTCGTTGTTGCGTGTCGCCCGTTATCGCTGTGCACGCGGCTGCTAGATCGCGCGCCAGTTTTGTTACGGACTCAGCCAAGGCTCGATCCCTGGTCCACAGGTTACCACCTGCCAGGCTGCTATTTTATTCTGAGTTCTTGATCTCCGATTCTTGACTTCTGGCCCCCTCTGCAGTTGGCGCTCGTTCTCGAATTCCTCCATTGGCACTTTCGGATTTCAATACTTGGCGCCATCCGACATTCTGGCGCCCAGACGCAGACCTGCAATCCTCAGTTCAGTCCTGAGGCAGGCCTCACCTCGGCCCTCCGGACTAACCCTGAGTCCGATACTTAAGTCCGGACTCGAGCCCCGTTGGGGCATCGAGTCTTCGGCCTCAGTGCTTGTGCTTCAGTGTGACTTGTCGCGACTTTGTGTTTGGAATCCCAGATTGCGACTTTGCGACTTTGAGACTTTGTCACTTCGTGTCTGCGTCCGTCGTGTCGAGTCGAGTCCGTGTCCGAGTCGAGTGAGTGTGTGTGTGTGCTCTCACTCTCTTCCTCTCTCTCTCTCTCCCTCGACCTCTCTCTCTCTTCCCCAACCTCTCTGCTCTGCCTCGGTCTCGTCACACTTGTATCGGAGCGACGAAACGTCCCTCCCTCCCGCCCTGCTCCAACGCCGCCACGTCCTCAACATCGTCGTCATCGTCACCGTCCTTGGTGCCGCCACGTCGTCGCCATCGTCGTTGTTGCCACGCCGTCGACATTGCTGCCTCGTCATCGTCGATTGCTGCCATGTTAACGCCATCGCCGTTGTCTTCGTCGCTGCTGACACGTCAACACCTCGCTGCGTTCGTCGTCGTGGCTGCCATGTCACCGTTCCCGAAGCTGACGCGTAGGTAAGTGACGATTAAATTTTCTTTTATTCTTCTTCTCCTTCTCTTTTCCTTCCTCCCCCCCTCATTTCTTCTTCCTCTCTTCCTCCTCGTTATCATCGTCGTCATCGTCCCTCCTCCCTCCCCTTCTTTCCCCCTCGTTTCCCTTCTCCCTCCTCTTCTTCTCCTTCAACCGTCCTTTCAGCCCCCCTCCCCGGCGATCGCGACTCCTCCACTCCCTGCCCTTCTCTCAATGAATGGGTAGCAACAATGAATCGATTCCTCAGAGAAGCAACCGAAGCCCTTGAAAGAACACAAGAACAACAAGCAAACAAGACTAACAAACACCGACGTGACTTGCAATTCAAAGTAGGGGACAAAGTTTGGCTCTCCACCAAACGCTTTGAACCCGAACACGGCTTGTCCAAGAAACTCTTGAACAAGTGGCTCGGACCCTTCCCCGTCATTGAACAAACCTCCCCCGTCAACTACAAACTCTAACTCCCCCCTGACATGAGTCATGTCCACCCGGTCTTCCACGTCAAATACCTAAGAATACCATGAATCCCCACCCCAATTCGCTGACCGCCCATATCCTAGACCTCCACCAATCATGTTACCCACGGGCCCTGAATTCGTCGTTGAAGCCGTCATAGGACGAAGAACTACTCAGGTATCTGACCACCCTGAACCAATCACAAAATACAAAGTTAAATGGACAGGATACCCTGATGAAGAATCTACGTGGGAACCTTGCTAACCTTAAGAATGCTATGAAGCATGTTCGCGCCTATGATTGTGCTCACCCTATATCCTAGATACATACTATAACTCAAAACCCGAACCCTTGCATAAATCCCGCCTCGACCCCGCCCTGACCCCGCATTCCTGCTCTACACATACCCCTGTACCCAGCAAAACCCTTGCCTCTTGAACCCCCCCCTGTATGATCCGCTCGTCTCTGCCTCGCCCCGTTCTCCCATCTGTCCTCTACCACATCCTTGTCTCTCTTGTC